TGGGTTCTTGGGGGGGCATTGTCAACCTTCGGGAGTAGTGTTACTGTTGCTTCGGGACAGGAACCCCTAAACCCTTACTGCCTAAACCCCTAAACCCAAAGTATTCGAGATGACAGTCTTAACCCTAAACCCTGAACCCTAACCCTGAACCCTACACCCCTACATAAACTCTAGTACCCCGAAACTCTAAACCCTTAATGCCTAAACCCTAAACTCGAAAGCCTAAACCCTAAACCCCTAAACCCCTAAACCCCTACCTGTAGCCGAAAAGACCTACCTTTTTAAGGAACTATATATAGAAACCATAATAAGGAACCCCAAACAGGTAGGTCTTTTCGGCCACAGGTAAACCCAAAGTCTCCGAGCTTTCAGGAACCAACGGTTTCTGCTCGACTATGGCTTCAGTCTCGGGGAGGCAAATCCCCGAGGTGACGAGGAGAAGGCGAATTTAGGTTTAGGTTTTCCTGGGTTTTAGAGTCTCGGGGTTTAGGGTTTCGGGGTTTTGGGTTTCGGGGTTTAGGGGTTTAGGGGTTTAGGGTTTAGAGTTTAGGGTTTAGGGGTTCAGAGTTTCCGGGTTTTAGAGTTTCGGGGTTTAGGGTTCAGAGTTTTGGGGTTTTTTAGGGTTTAGAGTTTCGGGGTTTAGGGTTTAGAGTGTAGGGGTGTAGGGTTTAGAGTTTAGGGGTGTAGGGTTTAGAGTTTAGGGGTTTAGGGTTTGGAGTTTAGGGTTTAGGGGTGTAGTGTTTGGAGTTTCGGGGTTTAGGGTTTAGAGTTTAGGGGGGTTTAAGGGTTTCGCGGTTTAGGGTTTAGAGCTTCGAGGTTTAGGGTTTAGGGGTTTAGGGCGTAGAGTTTATCCTCAGTACCCTTTAATAGAGTCCTCATGTCCTTAATAGAGGGTATGTACTTGGGGTAAAATAGAAGGTAGCTGGGTGGTCTAAGTAGGGTTTAGAGTTTAGGGATGGTCCGAGGTATCGCAGGGGTCCAGGGCTGCAGGGTGGGTTTAGGATTATAGGGTTTAGGGTTTAGGGTTTAGGGCGTCTCGCCGCGCAGCGGCAGTATTTTCTATGTAGGATGGCGCCCCAACACTCCCAGGGGTGTGGGGGGGCGGCATATCGACGTCTAGCGTTCGAATGCGATTCCACCACCAAACAATTACACATTGGTTCCTCACCTTTTCCCACCCGCTGTGAGAATACACAGGCTACCACCCAAAACATTGCCGTTTAGGGTTTAGCGCTTACGCCCTCAATTCCCACCTGCCCCTGGTCTGTCTGTTGGCGCCAGGAAGGACGCACCTACACACGCCACAAAACAGATAGGGTCAGGGCCCCCGGGTCCGTGGAATTTGACAGCTGGGGGGCACCCTGGGCCGGCCTCTGGGGCCTTTTCTGAGGGGGGCCAAAAGGAAAACACCACCAAGGGATTTGGTCGTCGGGTTTATTTAATCTCTTGAGGTTCGAGGGAATTCCCTCTGCGAATATGGGCGCCACGCAAGGGGCCTAATGGCTTGGCTCAGCCCTAGGGGCTGAATTCGACCACTCTCCAATGGCTCCACCCATTGTCCATCCAGAGTTGGTGTCAATCACTGCCGGATTTCCTTCTGGGTCCAGGCACCCTAAGAAAAAGGGTGGGTACGGCCTAAGCAGGCCTGGGTGGGAATTTAGGGTTTAGGGGTTTAGGGTTTAGGGTTAAGGATTCCCCTGTGGGTTCAGGGCTTTGGGAGCTTGAGGGCAGTACTTGTTTGGCTGCGGCTGTATGGCTCGCTGAGTGCTTTAGGCGTTCGGGGTTCGGGATGTTTCAGGGCTTCGCAGTAGCACGCAAATATGAACGTTTGAATTCATGCATGCATCTTTGTTTTTGTTTGTACGCATGCATGTATGATGTATTTATGTGTGGTTGTAAGCTTGTTTGCATCATTGCTTGCTTGCCTGTGTGCTTGTTTACTCATATGCGTGCTTCACAGTTGTTGTGCGCAGACTGACAAAATTTGCAATCGACGACATGCTTGTCAGTGGTTCGTTCTCATATCCATGTTCATAGCCTTTTCATCATCAGGATTTTGCATTGGTTACTATGTTTTTGCAGCTGCAGAGCATTCGTAAGCTCGGGCGGCACAGGAGGCGACTCGCATCCCTTCTCACGAGCATGGCAACGACAAGTCATGAAGTTTGACTCTGTCCGCTAGCCATCACGACAACTTTGAGTATTGTGTTCTTTCATCTTGCTAGGAGAATACCAGCAGTTGTCGTTGACGCAACTTGCTAACTAAGTCCCCCAAGATTGGGTACTGCCCCACTCTGAAACAGTATAACATTTATAGTAAAGTTAAACTGACATATATATATACACATATATTCTGTGTATATATATATATAGACAGGGAGAGAGAGAGAGAGAGAGAGAGAGAGAGAGAGAGAGAGCCCTGATTATAGCGCAGTACCCACCCCCAAGATACCAAGCATGCAACATCCCCGTTGTTGCCTTTCAGGTGGACTTGGCCTGAGATGCAGCGGCTGTCCCGAAGTTTCCTGGTCCAGGTAATGTAGGAACCTGATTAAAAAACCCTGGGCCTATAACCCCAAAATAGTAGTATATATATATATGCATATAAAGAACCCGAATACAGGCCCAAGGTTTCTTAATCAGGTTCCTACATTAGCTCTGTAATTTCTATACGTTCCAGACTCTGTATGCCTAATTGCTGAATCCCGAAAAGGACCGCGACACTGGACCCGAAAGAGCTTTGCCGAAGAAGTTCGAAAAAATGCCGTGCGAGACGCCAGGTTCCAGACACTTCAATGGAGTCTATCGGCTGTAAGTAAGGTTTAGGTGCCCTAATTGGAGTTATGAGTATCCATTATGCATTCATTAACTATAACCGTAGTTGTTACGTCCCATGATCCTCTAAGTAGCTACTTCATGAAAGCAGGCCAAGTAAAGTGGAAGCCATTCGCGGGAAGGTGCCCAAAACCCTGACCACCTAAGTTTGCCCCTTAACCTTGACGACCTACCTGTGGCTTAAATCCTACTGTTGATGATATAAATCCTGCACTACCTTAAGGACATTAATTAAACTATGGGAATTATGGCATATTCCTTATGGGTAATGCAGGATTTATATCATCAACCGTACTTGTTTGGGGGGCCCATAATGAGGAATGGCTTCGCTCCTAAACCCGGCCCACCAACCGACCCCCAAACCTCTAATCGCTGGGACCCACGGCCGATGGTGAGTTCAGAGAGAGTCTTCTCGGTGTTTTCGTCGTTCATGGTTCAGGGATCCACTTTGAAGAGCATGCTTGTCTTGTTGGGATCTTGGGGTGTATATGCAAAAAATCTATATATATATATACATATGTATATATATATAGTATGTATACCAAGACAAGCCGAACAAAGAAGCACGTAGGATTTCAGGAGAAAAGTAGTTTGCAATCGGTTGGGGTTTGTCTGAAAGCTGCATCCCCAACTACCAAACTCCAGATTGGGATTTCTGGCTCAGGTGGTTCGCAACCTAATCTTACCCACCTAGGGTCTGCACTTGTCCGGGCAAGCCCTCAAGTACACTCTGTAGAAGTCTTGTGTTTCCAATGTAGGTACATAGCGGGTGTAGTCGGCGCGGCTCCAGGTAGACTGCCAAGCCTTCCTGCAGTTCCATTGTAATTCCTTTTTCGGGCTTCTTCGATTGGTAGTATCGGATCCTAAAACGTCTAGTTGGTTCTGTAACCTGAGGGGTCTGTGTAATTACCCATATAGTATGCACTTTGGTCTTAAGGTAGGTTCTATGTAGGTACTTTAAGCCAAGGCATACACCATTTGGGTACATGGACCCTTGATATAGTTGGTTCTGTAACAGGGCCCCGAAAGTCCCCATTGTAGTTCCTTTTGGGGGTATCTTACAGGATCCTAATCCTAGTAGTAGAGTAGGGAACCTTTAATCTAGTATAGTCCCTATATAATCCATATATATATATATATATATATTTCCCATGATTACTCGACACGTAGGTAATTGTAGAATTGGATAAGCCACATGAAAGGAACCGCAACCCTAAACTCTAAACCCAAAAATTCCCGAGGTCGAAGGTCAACCCCACAGCGGCGGCCATTCGGAACGACCTCGGGTTGAAGTTTGCGCCCTGGAAATTGGCAGGTCTAATCAGGTTTAGGGTACTGGCTTAGCGTTGAGGGTTGGAGATTAGGGTATGACACCTGAATCCCCTAAACCCTAAACCTCTAAACCCTAAACCCTGAATCCTTAAACCCTAAACATTTAAAGCCTAAAGGGCACGTGAACCAAGTGACCGAGACTCAGTTCGTCTCCCAAAGGTGCCTAAGTACCTATACAGCAGAATGTACGGCTTCTATATCAGACATCATCCCCATGATTTGCGAATTGTGGAATGCAGGGTCTCTCTATTTGGACTCGTTATCATGAATATGGGAAAGTATCACCCATAGCAGTATCTAGGACCCTTGAGCGACCCTAAACCCTACACGCTGAAGTAAAGGCCTGAACCCCTAATCGAGAACATAAAAGGGCTCAAGTCCGGTTCAGGGTTGAGACTTAAGGGTTTCCGCTTTTGGGCCTCGGGTCTAGGGTTTCAGGTTTAAGCTGTAGGGCTGGGAGTCATGAGTTTGGGGTTTATGGTCTTTGCGTGAGGGGTTACGGCTTTCGGGGTCTATGGGGTTAAAGGTCCAGGGTTGAAGTTGAAGGTTCGGGCTTCGGGGCTTGGACTGGTTTTGGGTGTACAGTAAACTCCATAAAGTTGGAAACCGGATTCAGGCCAAATAGTGCTGGGATTCCCTATACATTACTCTTAAGGATTGAGGCTATTGGGTTTCCAACTTGTTGGGCCTCTACTGTAGTTTCCTTAACAACAAAGATAAGGTTCCTATAAAGGGCACCTTATGAGGTTACTATACAAGACTCAGGGTTGGGGGTAGGGCGTCTACTGAGTCTACTGTAGGTGCTATGCAAACCCACTCATGAGACTGTCAAGTCTTGGCCACAGAGGGCCCCAAGTCTTCAAAGTTCTTCATCGCATTCAGCTTGTGTTGTCACCACCCTTAGATACCAGGTGTATGCACATGATTCATCATCTCTGTTCTCTCTTTCTTTCTTGTCTCTCTCTCTCGCTCTCTCCCTCGCGCGCTCACTCCATCCTATGAACACCTGAACATCGATCTATCTACCCATCTATCGGTCTGTCTATAGAGATATACGCATACAGACATGCATGTCGGGCTGATACACCGAGAGTGCGGCATTTACGTTCTGTACTCATGCTTTCAAGACTAGGGACCGGTCCCTTTATTCCGGCCTCTTTTTGAACCTCTTATTGAGGGTTTAGGGTCTATGGCTATCTTATAAAGTTCAATACACCTCTTTAAACATCAATTAGTTAAGGTCAAGCAGTAAGCGTGCAGCTTACGATGCTAGGGCCCCAGTGTCGAAATCCGAGCATGTAAGGCTTACAGGGACGCTTTTATATCCAGGGATCCCTAAACCCTACCTTAACGCGGAATAACCTACCTTTTTAAGGACTTATGTAAGGAAATCATAATAAGGAACCCTAAAAAGGTAGGTTATTTGGGCTTAAGGTACACCCTCAGGATGAACATAACTTCAACGTTCACAGAACGGGTTTAGGGGTTTAGGGTTTAGGGGTTTAGGGGTTTAGGGTTTAGGGGTTTAGGGTATAGTAGGAGCCCTTTACATCAAGTCTGAATTTGGCTAAGTTTGAAATCGTGGGAATCACCAGGCAGCCGTCGCGATCTTCGGTCCGAAGCCCAGCACCGCAATTCGCAGCCCTGAGCCCTAAACCCCGAATTGCTATCCGCTTTACGGATTGGCTGTCTGGAGCTTAGTAAGGAATGGGGGGACTATCCCCTATATAATCCCCAGTAGTCGTCCCCAATATCCATCCCCCCTTTCCCTATTAAGAACCAGACAGTTGGGGTTCAGGGCTTCGTGTTGACACCCGGATGTGAAGTACGGGAACCTGGCCACTACTATAGGGGCCCAAAGAATTACTAATACTACTGTGGGGGTTCTGTATTATAACTACAGTATACTATGCCCCAAAACCCTATTCTAATTATTAAGGCTGTCACTTGAAACAGAGAACAGACTGCCCAGGGCCTTTCTGTGGAATCCGAACAGGAGCTCAGTCTAAATTCCATCAAACCCAAAGGGCCCAAAGTTGCTAGGGATGTTTACATACCAGAAATCATTACCATGGGTTGGGAAAGTTTACCCGTGTAGCAGTACCAGTTACCGTTTGGGAGCAAGAAGCCAACGACAAGGCTCATGCCGACAGGGCCAGGGATTCTTGAGGCCAGGTTCCCTGACACCCCAAACCCTCAAGCGCTGAACCTCACGCCCCGAGGGTTTAGGGTTCGGGTCTGAGGCCCTGTAGTTCGTGGCCCACATGAGCAGGACTCTTTCCAACTTCTGGTGGTACTGAATGAAAGATACACCCCCGAACTAGCTTTCGAAGCTAGGAGTCCTTAGACTCAAACCACGCCCGCTGCACACCCTAAACAAACCGCCACAGTCCAGAAGCTCTGAACACGAAGCGTATACACCTCGAACCGGGCCCTCCCACCCTAAAGCCTCAAACTTAAATCCTAAACTCGACATCCCGCCCATGTCCTGGACCCAGAACCTACATCCATTCCTCTTTTGTGTGTACAGGGACCCTCACAAGCAGGATACGACTTCAACTTTATATAACTCAGACTCTGTGAGAACCTACATCCTAGACCCACAGTCTTTTACCCTAACCTCCTCTGCAAAATCTAACCCCGAAGCCCTACGTTTTTTGCTTGCCTGAGATGGCGACACCACCGCCTGGTCGCGCCTCCGGGAGACCCCTTGGCGCTTTCCCTACTGCGGCTAAGAGGGTTTAGGGTTTATAGGGTTTAGGGTTTAGAGTTGTTGCGCAAGGGCTCTTAAGATTTAGGGTTTAGGGTTTAGTGTTTAGGGTTGTTGTGTAGAGGTTCCTTGAACAGAGGAAGAAAGCAGATTTTTGACGACGAACCTGAAGTCACCGTAGCATTTGAGCCTGAAACTTAAGGGCAAAAACTAAGCCTGAAACCTCGTCTCGCATTGTTCTGAAAGCCACCACATTAGTAAGTGATTGGTTCGGTGGCCCTGCACCCACCCGATTGAGCCTGACCTGACCTTTGCCATATACACAGACGACCGTGCCCGGCTTGGTTGTTCGCCATCTGCATGGTCTTGCTTGTGTTTCTCTAACACATGGAAATGTATAATGGATAGAAATACAGATATAGATACAGACATTCGGCTCACTGGCGGGAGATGGGTTGAGGCCTTGAATTTGACGTTTAAGTGGCAGGGTTTGGGGGTTTAGGAATCCCAATCCGTCCTGTCTGTTTTTCCTTTCCAGGAGTCCGGCGCAGTGGCTCCGGTCAGCGAGCTGCTTCTGGGCTCAAACTGCAGGGCACGGAAACAGGGCTTCGGGCTTTAGGGCT